ATAGCGCCGAGCCCCGAGCCCCGGAGCCGGCCGCGCGTCCCGAGAACGCCGGTGCCCGAGGACGCCGACAGCACCAGCCTCCCTTCTCCCCTCCCGTCCCTGCCCGGCCCCGCACTCCTCCCCCTGCTCGCGGCTGTGTGTCAGCACTTGGCTGGAGACTTCTTGAACTTGCAGGGAGAGTGACTTGCGCTCCCCAGCGCCCGTGCCTCTGCCGGCCGGGGATCCAGCCGGTCGTCCCGAGCCCCGCACCCCGCCGCCGGGCCGACCCGGGACGCTGTTCCCTGCGCGAGGAGGCGACTGTACGGCCGGGAAAGGGGACGGACACCCGGTCCCCGCACCGGGCCCTTCGGACAGAGCTTTTTCCATGTGGAGGCTCTTTCAATGGACGTGTCTCCGCGTGCTTCCTAGACGGACTGCGGGCTCCTAAAGGTAAAGGAGCGGGGTCGGGCCGGCCAGGGTGGGGGCCGCGGCTCCGGGCTCAGCGCCTCCTGGGGCAGGACAGGCTGGACATAAACAGACCCGGCGGCGGGTCCACGTGCAGCCCAGCTCTGCGGGGCAACCCCACCCCACCGCCCAGACCCTCCCTCCCCTTTTCGGTATATTATAAAGACTTAACATTTAGACGATTAAAAAACAGTTAAAGAAATCCCTTTGAGAGAGTGGCCCCTGGATTTCAGCCGTTAGTCGCCAACCTGTACTTCTGGCCTTGGCAATCCCTAATTCATTCTTCAGGTTTCTCCGGGAGACCTGCGCTTTTCACTCGGGAAGGAAAGGGCTAGGAGTTGGAGTTCACGGATTTGTTTCCAGAAGTGCGAGGGGGCAGTACTGCGGTGCCAGTGTTTTTTAACAGCTGACATGTGCATTAGTAGATAGTGCCATTTACATAATTGCAGGAAGCTCCTTGTGTTTCTGGAGGGCACGAGGGTGATGGAGTGAGTGGTCGTTCACCCCTATGGTTAGGGGCGTGAGCAACAAGTTGCAGGCGCCTTCCGAAGTTGTGGGCTTGAGTTTACAGGTCTGGAAGTTACAGACGCGCGCGTTGGTTATGTGTGAGTGTGTGTGTGTGTGTGTGTGTGTGTGTGTGTAAGTTCTATACCGTGCCTCTCAGGAAGTCACATGCACTATTGATGCGTATTTATACGCCAGTGAGCACTGGACCGTGTGCGGGTTTGTAGGGGACCAGGGTGCCAGACAAACGGTGATTTTTCCCAGATTTCCAGCACGGGCTGTCAGATCTGGTATCAGAGACAAAAAGGTGGCAGTCGCTCACTCTACTTGGATGAGGGCAAAATCCCAAATCAGAAGTCAGGTGGATCGAGAATGGGATTGGAGTGGGACAGTGCTCAGGGACTGGTGAGCCCTCGAGCGGTGCGCGCCTGGAGGGCACCCTGGAGGCGGCGGCGCAGAGCCCGGGCCGCGGGGGCGGGCGGGCGGGAGGACTGGGCGGGGAACTCGGGTGACTCACGTCGGCCCTGTCCGCAGGTCGACCATGGTGGCCGGGACCCGCTGTCTTCTAGCGTTGCTGCTTCCCCAGGTCCTCCTGGGCGGCGCGGCCGGCCTGATTCCCGAGCTGGGCCGCAGGAAGTTCGCTGCGTCGTCGGGCCGCGCCTCGTCCCAGCCCTCGGACGACATCCTGAGCGAGTTCGAGTTGCGGCTGCTCAGCATGTTCGGCCTGAAGCAGAGACCCACCCCGAGCAGGGACGCCGTGGTGCCCCCTTACATGCTGGACCTGTACCGCCGGCACTCGGGCCAGCCTGGCGCGCCTGTCCCGGACCAGCGGCTGGAGAGGGCGGCCAGCCGCGCCAACACGGTGCGCAGCTTCCACCACGAAGGTGAGGCTGGCGAGCGGTGGACCGGGTCCTGCAGAGGCGGGTTGGCCAGGGCGCTGCTGACCTTTCCAGTCTTGCTTGCCACTGGGCACACTGCCTGTGCGGCAGGGAACCCGGGATTCCCCTCGGGTGCCTCGGCACCCTTCCCCTGGCCAGCGGCCAGGAGAATAGCTCCTCCCCCAGGAACCGGAGAGGCATCCAGAGATGGGGAAGGTGAGGGTCAAAGGCACGCCCCTAGTCAGCAAGAATTCCACAGCGGGAGCCTGAGCAGGATTGGGATTTCTTACAATCTGTTTGGAAACGCTTGCTCTATAAATCTGCGTCTTCTTTAAGCTGGGAATTTAAGTTTAGACAGAGCCAAGGGCAGAATTTTTAGAGATAGTAGTATTGACAAATCAAAGCCCAGGGCCTCAAAGTCTTTCTAGTTTACAGTTGATCTGGACCTAGTTTGGAAGATTTCGAATCCTTATTTAATCCTCCTGGGAGATCAATTCTGAAATCAATCTTTTTGTTTCCACAATGACTTTCTTGTCTTGCGCTTAAATCTTAGGCTCCGGGTAGAGACAAGGCAAGCCTTCAGATAAAAGCTTTGCAGCAGCTGCCTGCTTCCTTCATGTGCAGTGAAATGTGGACTTTTTTTTTTTTTTTTTTGCTTTTATGATATTCAGTGTGGTTTCCGAAGGTAGGATATTTGTGCTTGTTTCATCAGAAAGGTATTCAGTAGATTTGAAATGTCTTAGAGCAGCTACTGAGATCTGTTGAACCTAACTTCTTAGGGCAATCAGTCAAACACAGGCTCCATCTCCGTTCTTTTGATATAGTTTTAAAGGCCCTTTGACTTAATATTCCCTGCACAGAGAATGGTATCCTTCAAGTTCTAGAAAAGAGGGCAGAGGGTGAAGAAGTGCATGTTACAGAGCACCTATTCGTAGACTATTAAGGAGTGGGAAGTGAAGTTCCCTTTTGAGAGCTTTGTCCTGCTGGGGTGGTCTTTCTCAAGTGCTGATCTGTGCACTGTTAGAAACAGATTAGAAATGGCACAGCCCAAAGTTTTTCTCAGTGTGAAGGAAGACATTCTTCTGAGAACCAGGGCTGATGATGGGAAGAAGTCCCGAATGTGAGAGCACAAATGCCTTCACTGAGCCAGGTACCTTATGAAGTGGGTACTGAATGAATGCTTCTGTTCCAAATCCACTTCAACAATGCTCTCTGCTAGCAGAAGGCAGAGGTTTCTTCCAGGTGCAGTAAGACCCTCTTTCCACTCCCTTACGGTCCCCCATTGAAACCAGAAGTTGTCTGTTGTCTTATGTTAGGAATGTTTTCATTTGTGTACATTCTGTTATCCTAACCCAGCGATGATTATAGAGCCGGCTCATTATTCCCATCTGACATTGATTAGGAATAGTTTTTCTGGATAGAAAAGCAGCAAGCACAGCTGTTTAAGCCACCTCTTCTGGAAATTTAGCGTAGAAACCATCCTTAACTTTAGAAGGCAGGTAGGTAGGTACCTGTAGAAGGAAGGTACTGTGACTGCCTTGTACCTTAAAAGTAGGATCCTTTAGGTCAGGTAATACCTAAGACATTCAGTTGGGTGATGACTTCATCAGTAAGTCTGTATATTTCTCTTACTTTATCTAGAAATGACTTGGTCAGAACTTAGACTTTATATTACTCGACTGTTATTTTGACTTAATGTGTGCTTGAGTTTTAAAGTTGAACTTACATCTTTAAAAATGTGAATATTATGTGTCAAACAGTACAGCAGTTACCAACTAGCTCAACATCAGCTTGCAATAACTTTACCTCTTAGTGCATGCAGATGATAGACAAAAGCTATGTAATTTTGGCCCTCACTTTCAATAAATCCATTTCTTTTCTCATTATGACAAGAATGCCACCATTAGACTGGATATAGCACTTTTTAAAGGCTATTCATTATTGTGTAATCCAGAATTTGATTTTTATAAGCATCCTTCTACCTTACGTGCTACTAAAAATCTTTTAATAAACCATGTGATTAAGGCTGCTGGTTCCAAAAAACGATCTAGTTTCTAGAAGGTTAATAGATATTTACGTGTTAAAGAACCAAAAGGACCCTATTACAGTAATGTTGAGGGGTTTTTGGTAAATAATGTCAGTGAATTTGGTAGAATTATGAGACAAAAGGGACAAGGATAGAGTTCTTTCAACCAATGTGTGTATGTTCAGGCTCCAAAATGAGTGATTTGAGATGCCATTATCAGTTCTCATTTCTCCTGTTGGACGTTATTGCAGTCCTTTCTACAATGGCTTGGGGAGGGCACAACCTGTGCTAAAGTTCTCTTTTTTTCAGAGTCATTAAAAATACATCAGCCATATGGGCCTTTTAGGAGTGCACTGTGTGCAGAAAAATCACCTCACCAACTGGAAAGACTGGGTTATGCTTTGCTGCCATTAGAATTACTTTGGCATTGGTTGATTTCTTTTTTTTTTTTTTTTTGGTTTTTCTCGGGTACCAGGAACCGAACTTACGACCTTGCGCTTGCCAGGCAGGCGCTTTTGCCGCTGAGCTAAATCCCCAGCCCCACATTGGTTGATTTCATTGGCTCTGAGAAAGCCATCCTGCTTTGTTGACAGATCAGAACATAGAAGTACCATGTGCTTGTTCTCCAGACTTTGAAGGACGCAGTCTTCCTTAATGCATGAAATAACTCCATTATCTGTCTCTGTGACAAAAGCTTTCAAGTAGAGATGAATCTTGTTCCCACAGATGTTACCATGAAAGTATCTATATAGGAAAGTTTGAGAAACAACCATTACTCTGTAAAGGACAATGGGTGCCACAGATTTGCACTGGGCATGGGGATGTGTAGACACCCCGATCCAGTACTCATTAGGGGTGCTTCCCTAGCGCCCCAGGTGGTACAGTGTGATTACAATGGCCCTGTTGGGTGGGACGGTTACTCTGTTTGAAAATGCTCCTGGAGACTGGGCTTTGGTGTTCCATGAGAGTTCTTGGCACTGATGTTTTCGGTTCCACTTCTTTTGTGTAATTCCACCTGTTCCTTTTTGCTTCCTTCTCCTTGAGCTGCTGGGTCTCTTGGACTAGAGCTTTGGGTATCTCAGTAAGTAGTCAGTATAAGAAGGGTGGTGATCATTGCAGCAGTGCTGGTGTCAAGGGCGAGCAGAGGCCAAATCAGGGTTAATGATGACCGCTAGGTTCCCCTTTGCTCTAGTCATCGATTCCTTTGTTGTCTTAAAAACCATTTGGTCTTTGTAACCTTTTGCATCCCATTTCTTTATTTCTTGGCATAATGATTATTTTATCTTCTAGAAAATCTTATCCATCATACACAGCAACTTTGGTTTTATTATAAGACCGAAATCTCCAACCTTATTGATTTCCCAGCAGATCTGCAGGCATTGTTACTGTTTTAGTACAGGGCTTTTTTGTTTTGTTTTGTTTTTTATCCAAAGAATGTCGCAAAATTCTCAAAGCATAATGATAACTTACTTTTAAAATAAACCTCACCATGCTTTGGGGCAGAAGTACAGTCACAAAATAGCAGTGGCTTTAAACAAGATCTGCATGTTCCAGTGGACCCGTGCCTCTTTACTTTCTGGCTGGCTTAGTTCTGTCTACCGTCTGCATCACGCCTGGGTAGTACATTCCTATCCTTTAGTTAGGACAGAACTTACTCTGCAATTGCCATTGCACTAAGTATTGTTCCCAGATAGTGTTGACTGTTGCTGGAGGCTTTGACTCCTCCCCTGTGAGCCAGTGCCGTCTAGTGGCTAGAAATGTGGGCACCTCAGTACACTCCTCAAGCTCATAACCCTGTGACCTTAGTTAAGTTACATAACCTCTCTGAACTATTTCACTTACAAAGTGGAGATGGTCATGGTTCCTCTCTAATCACTTTGTTGTGAGATGATTCACGTAACATTATGAACACAAAACTGTCACAAAAAAGCAACCAGTTAACATCATGGTAACTTTTTATGCTGTATTTTCCCCTTCTCTAGGGGAGGAGGCCAGGGTAGACCTCTCCTACATCTTTGGATAATTTTGAAGTGGATGATGAGTAATCGACATAGTGCAGATGTTTGAATTAGGACTTCACTTTTGGAAGACAGGTCAAATTTTTGCCTTAGTTTTCGTCATTTTCCCACATTTTCACAGCCATGGCTCCATCTACCTGGTTGATAACATTAGAGGGCCATAAACTTAGGTTGAGACTCCTCAAACCTCTCAGCAAGTTCAGCTGATCCAATAAGGAATATATACAGGGAATTAACAACTTGCGTACGCCTCCCCAAATCGTATACTACCTACATTGTGCTTTCAGAGTCCCCAGGCTTCCTGTGATTTGTAGATGATTTCTTTAATAGGCTTTGTTTCAAATAGGTTTAGAGTCCTCCACCCTCAAGAAAAGAAGATTGAGACATTTCTCTTGGGCAGGAGGTGCCATGTGCCCTAACCTTGGACACTGATTTCCTGGGGTAGGGAGGTTTCTGTGAGCAGACCTGACTTACAACAGCAAACGGAGTCTGCTGTCATAGCGGAGGCCGCTGTGGTGAGAGTAGGGTGGGGATTTTTCAAGGATTAGCTTGGTGCAAGTGCAGTTGGAAGGTTGGAGAAAGCACTTTGTGTGGCCTGTTACTATGTAATAGTGGGATTTTCTCCTTTGCTGAGGCCACTAAGCCAGTCTGTTTTGCTAAGGCTTTTACCTCCAGTGAAATTTTGAACCACAGGAAATTGCTATTTTCTGTGTATCTGGTTGGAGACTGGCGCTTTTATATGATTTTATCTTTATTTTAGAGGGTTATTGTCCTATTTATGCCTCCTTTTTACACCCATCTTCCAGATTTCATTTACCTCTCTCTCATACTTCCCTTGAAAATTGTCCCGTCATCGTCATCCTCTGGCCGTGTGTGCATGTGTCCACGTGCACATGCTGATCATATCTTTCCTTTTCCTTTATGGACTGGAATTCAGGACTTTTGTTGCTATTGTGATCTTTCCAGGTACTTTGATCAATACAGAGCTATTCATGAAGTGCCCTGAGTGGTTCACCTTTCCCCTCTTTGAAAGAACGGAGAGCGTGTCTTGGTGTGCTGGCATCAGGAAGCAGGGAACTCAGTTGGTTTCTAGTTTGGTGTCTGGAGCCTGGGGGAATGCTGCTGATTTTCACTTCTGAAAAAGTGCCTTCTAGCAGAAACAGTGGCTCCTCGATGGTAGGAAGAAGGGACTTTTAAAAAGAAGCAATTCTTGGTACTTGTTTAAGCCCCTGGTAGGAGTCCTGGTTCAGTTGGCAGAAGGGTGATTTTAGTGATCATGTCTAGCCCGAAGAACCATTGGCTTCCAAGGGACTTCCGAGTGTGGGCTGATCATGAAAGCTGTCCCCAAGAAGTTTGGATGACAGGGTACCAAAGGACTATGGAAGATTATTCTTTGGGCATGACAGTCTCAATGCCTAGAAGAATTTTAAAAGACCCTTCTATTTGAGTCTCTGGCCTACTGTAGCCTTAACTCTTACTCCTTGGCCAACAATAATGGTCCTATACATGTTCTTATTATTTAGCAGAAAGGTACTTTTAAAAGATACTCCTCTGGCAATGCTTGAATGTGGAAAACATCCTTTAAAACTGTGACATCCAATGTGCATTTCATCTGCTGGAAACATCCTCTTACTTAAGAGCTCCTTGGGAATGCAGGACTCAGGCTCTCCTCAGACCCACTGAATTAGCTTCTGCATTGAGATGTAATGGCTCCTAGTCATCTCAGAAGGCTCAAGTTCAGCAGCACTGTATGAAAGCATCATTCCATATCTCGGTGTAAATGGCACCAGGTGAACTCAGTGCTTCTGCTGAGCTTGCAGTGACTGGCCTTTTGGTGGGGAAGGTTTATGTGGGTAAAACCTGGAAGTGAGCCATCCAACGTGACTCTCCTTTGCATCTAGACCAGTGGTGGCGAACCTGTGGCGTGCATGCTGCAACTTGCTGTCTGTATCATTGAAAGTTCTAAAAGGTTTGCCATCACTGATCTAGACTCTGTGAGTAACTACAGCTCTTTGTTTTTACAAAAAATATAACTGTACAATTAATGAAATAATTTTATGACATAGAACTATGTCAAAGTATATTTTGTTAGCACTTGAGTTGAGGTCCTAAATGAAGTAGGTAACTTTCTTTGGACACAAATAATGGGATTCAGTAAACTTAGAAGAATATAAACCAAAATGTCTCAAATTCTGGTGGTATTCACTATCAATGTAATAATAATATTGTGCCCTGATCAGCTGTCAGTTACAAGCATTTAAGTTGCCAGGTTATATTTTACTGTTTACTTGGAAAATCATACATCTTAGAACTGCAGTGCAGGAATCTGAACGAGGCAGACTTTTATGGAAGGTCCTTTAAATGGCTCTGAAATAGTGATAATAGATGTAGAAAAATGAATCTGTAATAGGATGAGATTGCTTCTAGTATCCTGAAATTCATAATGGTATTTTTATGAATTGTTTCGATTTTTTTTTTTGTCTATCGTGGAGTCTATTATTGGTGTAGGCATTTAAAAAAAATATGGCTGATAAAACATAAAGAATACACACAGAAAACAAAGTCATTTTTTTCCCAAAAGCATCTGAAATGAGATTTTTGATTCTTGAGGTCATAAGGAGGTGAGAGAACAAACAATCAGGAAGCTATTTCTCTTGAAATTGTTAGACTTTAATTACTGCAGTTCCTAGTACCACCCATACATTTCCAAAGTAGATCCCTGTAAATGCCTTTGTCTCTGGACTTTTGAGTAAAATAGTAGGGTGCGCTTTGCTAAATGTCATCGGTGATGTTGAGTTTCAGAGTCTTTAATTAGGAAGCTGAAATCTGTATATCAAGATTTGTAAATCATCTAAATTGCAGAGTAATGTTTTAGAATACCGCTTAAGGGATTGACATTAAAGCCTTTTTTAAAAAAAGAAATGCGATAATTTCCTCAACTCCTCACTCATTAGACCTCTACTGACTATAGTTCTGACTTTTTGGTCATCATGTGTGTGAGTTCCAAAGAAATGCTTCAGCATTTTCCCCATTATTATACCTGCCTGGAAACCATGTCCTTGCAGTGGATGAAAAGTATAAAAATTAATTAGGAAATTTATTTCATGGTATGCATGTTGGCATGACCATTTACATAAAGGAGAGGGTATTTTTTAAAATGACATTTTTCTTTTTTTTCTCTGTGTGTGTCACCAAGAATGAACCCAAGACTCGGTGTGTACAAGGCAAGCACTCTACCTCTGAGTTAGCACCACTCTTGAAGTTTTTGTTTTCTTGTTGCAAACTTTTGCATGAGCTGAATCAAACCCTTCAATGAGATTCAAACATTCTCATGCCTAATCAGGTTATCACTTCTTGTACTGAATGATTTGTCTTCTTTTTTTCCCCATGTTTATAAAATTAGAATCTTTGGAAGAACTGCCAGAAATCAGTGGGAAAACGACCCGGCGATTCTTCTTTAATTTAAGTTCAATCCCCACCGAAGAGTTTATCACCTCAGCAGAACTTCAGGTCTTTCGGGAACAAATGCAGGAAGCTTTGGGAGACAATACCAGTTTCCACCACCGAATTAATATTTATGAAATTATAAAACCTGCAACGTCCAATTCACCCTTCCCTGTGACCAGACTCTTGGACACCAGGTTGGTGAATGAGAACACGAGCCGGTGGGAAAGTTTCGATGTCACCCCCGCTGTGATGCGGTGGACCGCGCAGGGCCACACCAACCACGGGTTTGTGGTGGAAGTGGCCCATTTAGAGGAAAAGCACGATGTCTCAAAGAGGCACGTGAGGATTAGCAGGTCTTTGCACCAGGACGAACACAACTGGTCACAGATACGGCCCTTGCTAGTGACGTTCGGCCATGATGGAAAAGGGCATCCTCTGCACAGAAGGGAGAAGCGTCAAGTGAAACACAAGCAGAGAAAACGCCTTAAGTCCAGCTGCAAGAGACAGCCTTTGTATGTGGACTTCAGTGACGTGGGGTGGAATGACTGGATTGTGGCCCCTCCGGGGTATCATGCCTTCTACTGCCAGGGGGAGTGCCCTTTCCCCCTGGCGGATCACCTCAACTCCACTAATCACGCCATTGTGCAGACTTTGGTCAACTCTGTGAACTCTAAGATCCCCAAGGCATGCTGTGTACCCACGGACCTCAGTGCTATCTCCATGCTGTACCTTGATGAGAATGAAAAGGTCGTGTTAAAGAACTATCAGGACATGGTTGTGGAGGGTTGTGGGTGTCGTTAGCACAGCAGAATAAAATAAATAAATA